GTCAGGTCCAAATAGCTGTTTATGTTCCTGCCCCCTCCCTCCCCTAAACAATGGTTAAAAAGGTGATTTACTCACCTATTTCCAGCACCACTCTGGTCTGGTCACGTCCACTCTCTGCTCCCTTGGCTGCACTGACTCAAGAAGCACCTCTGCTGATCATCTAAGTGACTGCCACTGGAGATGTTCCTAGGCAGCAATGTAAACACTGCCTTTTCGGTGAAACTGACTACAGACACCAGAAAAACGACATTAAGCTGTATTGTTATGGTGACTATAGTGTCATGAGAATTACAGTCCATGCCACTGTAAAGGCAAGTACTTCTAAACATAACAACCTTTTTACCAAAAATCTAAACACCCCAAAACCCTAACCATAAGGCCCTACAACCACTCATTACCATATCCTACACTTTACCCTTAACACTCCCTAAAGCCTCCACACTTTATATATAAAACAGCCCATTGACAAAGTAGGGATACAGTATCTTTTGCTGTGTCATGAATTACTTAGAAGCTATAAAACTTACTTGTTCTGAATGTTTTTGCATAAAAAACCAAAAAAAACTATGAAACTAGCAGAGGGACGTGGAAAAAAAGAAAAACAAAGAGCTGACAAATTTTAATTAAAGCTGTATTGGGATATAGCTATTGTTTGTTTGTGTTTGAGTGTGTGTGTTTTCGCGTAGAATGCAAGCTTCTGGTTGTTGACCAGAAAGCGCACAACTGAAGAAATGCAGTGGAAGCCTCTTGTCAGCTACCAAAGACCGACTCTCTGGAGAAATGGAAGTGAAAACAGATGCCGTCTATCAGTTTTACATATACCCGGTGTTTGGATTTCTCTGGCTGCTCCCTTTGATGTAAATTCAACTTCATTTGAAGCAAGGCACTCTCTTTAAATATTAAATGCTATTTTCTCTCAGCAGCACTGCGTTTTATCTATGTTAAAGAGTGATTCTCAGGGCAATTCTTCTTTGTATTTGCTAAAGAAGAAGCCTTAGGTAAGGAAGTAAAAGGGATGTGGGGCATGTACGTGAAAGAGAGGTTCAAGGAACAGTTCAAGCTGGGATTGACTTCCATTCTTTAAATGCATTTGATGGACAATGTATTAAAACATACAAAAACTAAAATATATATATATTTTTTTTAAATGAATATCAAGTGTTTTTTAAGCTATTGAATCGAGTTCACGTCAGTCCAGGACAAAAAAAATCTGAGATAATGGAGACCCATTTAGTGTGCACAAACATTTTTTGCATTAGTCTTAGGCAGGGCCTTCCATGGCAACAGGGGCACTTTGGAGCTGATACAGCTTGCAAGTTTTGATGTTTTAGAGGTTGGAAGGTGGCAGGAGGCTCCTCTCACCTTAAGGATACAGGACCAGGTGATCACTCCCTGCAGTGACTTCCCTTCTGTAAGAATTTGAGAAAGTGAGTGCTCACTGGGAAACAAACCAGGCGTATTGAGTTCTGAGTGCACACTCCGTTGCAGGAGTTTTCAGGTGCAGGTGCTAGAAATGCGTGGGGAGAAGACAGGTGGGGAGAAAAATAAGGGAGAGACACAAGTATGAAGATGTGTGTGCAGAATGAAAGTGGCAGTTATACCGAATTATAGGTGAGAGACACCAATGAGAGAAGGATGATTAATAGGTTTGATTTTGCAGTGGATTAATAAATAATTACAAAGTACTTGTCTATGCACCCGAAGTGTAAGAATGTACATTGAAATAATTAAGAATTTCTGACCAAAGAAGGCTTGACTTGAGCCCTCTAGGGGATTCAGAAAGTCTGCATGTAACCCAAAAAGAATTATTAAACACAGTTGACAGAGGTTAATTACAATAACATGCAAGTCAGCAACTCAGCAGTATCCTGCAAAGGAGCCAATTTAGACTTCATTAAAAAGTAGTTAAAAGTTTGAAGAAAATCAGTTTCAATTAGATAATAAGTTCCTAATCAAAACAATTTTTTTATGTCTTCCTAAACAAAAAAAAATTATCCAGATAGAATCATTTACAAAACTGATAAACTTAAATCATTTTACGTTTATCATTCGAGTCTATAATACAAATGGTCCTAATTTGACCATCATAAAATCCACAAGTTATATGACTGTGGAGATAGGAGGAAATACTTAAAAAATAATCTTTCTAAAAAATAATTGAGATCCGACACTTCTACCCATATATCTAAGCACAACTACTAATACTCATTATGGCTTGAGGAGGGCACAAGGAGGCCTTTTAACCAAGGGTTCATTTAATTTGCTATTCAGGTTGTTTTCATAATTGCAGAACCTATTTATTTTTTACAAAGTCTTTGGTGAAAAACTGTTCTATGTAACGAAGGCAAGAGGAAGATATAGTCTGTGCAAAACATCAAAGGATGATTGCACTTAATCAATTAAAGAATTCTGAGTGTGTTGTGAAAAACTGCACTCTATGAAATGTTATTCAATTCACCAGTTATAAGTACCGGCTCCTTACAAAGCCTCAAAGACACCATAACTGAATAACTATACTTTTCCCCCCAAGGTATTGGAACCATTTTTTCTCCAAATAAAGTTCTGATGAAGATGAGAATCATTGAATATGTCACAGTAAAATGCCTATCCTCTAAATGCTAACATAATTAAAGTGTCAGCTTTTAAAATATAGATCTGAAGGTGTTAGATGACCCAAATTTGTGCTACTCCTCTGCAAGTCCTTCTAGTTCCATAATAATTAAGATAACAGCTTAGCAATTTGTTGGCACATATTTCTACCTAAGCTTCTCAGAGGATTTCACCCACGTGAAATACCAAACATGAAAAAGTGCAATAATAGAATTTAAAACTATGCCTACCCACCAGGGAGGTCTCACAGCAGCCATTATTATCCATCTGCAAGATTGTAAACGTTTTCTCATGGGAGTGTCTCATCAGATTTACAATCAATCCATAACATATTCTTCTCTTTTTTAGCTTCCTAGACTGTAAGGCAGACCATCCATCGTCCCAGTAGTGTTTGCTGTGAATGCTAAATTAGGACGACTGCAGAGAGGCAACTCTTACACATCACACTGAGTATAACCCAATTTATATCCATCTTCATAAAATTTAACAATTAAGTTATATCTTCTGATCTTTATGTTCCCCTTATCATGAGTTAGGAGAACTTGCAGTGCGTTATCAATAATGTCTTTGGATCAAAAAAAATTACTTTTATCGTTAAATCGCTCGGCGGACACACAGATGGAGATGTGACAAGGTATCGCTACATGAAATAAGAACAATTGATCTCTGTATGAAATGAGAACAATTGATACAAATTATAAGCCTACAAACATGCTTAAAAAATCTCCTATTTGTGAGATAAAAAAAAAACATGCAATGTTTTAAAGCAACGTAAAGGGACTTAGTTATTACAAATGTGCCAACATTCCATTTTTTTACAGTATTTTGTTTTATTCTGGACAATGTGCTAGCCGTATTGAAAATGTACCTGTAGAGACATTAAAATAATTTGGGTTTTATTAGCTAAACTGGTAATCATGTTTTTGTTTTATTGAGGAAAGGGGCTAAATCTCTAAAAAAAAAAGTTAGATAAATTTCATGTTTGGCCTAAAGTTTCAAATACCTTTACAATTCATTCTTTTAAATCCCACCTAATTGAATAATATGTAATTTAATGCATACTTCATTATTATGAAACTGTATCCCTAACACTATAGTATCCCTCAGCAGTTAACTATAGGCCAGCCCCCCGCCCCTCCAGTGATGAAAGGGTTTAAAAGAAACATTTTCTTCTCTTATCTCTTTTCTGAGGTCCCTTGGTGCTGGCTCTGCCTCCTGGCTGCGCCTCCTCTTCTTCTGACATCAACGCGATGAGGGCATTAGACCTTTCCCGTAGGAAAGCATTGAATCAATGCTTGCCTAAAGGAATCATGAAGATGCTGCAAAGCATAAGGATGTCCAGTGTTGTATCACCAAGTTAAACTCCATGAAAAGCCATGAAGCGCCTCTAGTGGCTGTCTGGTAGACGGTCACTACAGCAGTCTTTACCCTGCAGTATAAACATTGTAGTTCCTCTGAAATGAGATGCAGTGGTCTGAGTACCTATAGTGTCCCTCTAAACAGCATTATTTTGAGGGAAAAAAATAGTTGCTTTGGGGAAAAAATCTCCAATGTAGTTTTTTTTTTTTTTTAACATAATTTTACAAATCGATTCCCATGCCTCGATGATTTATTGTTTTCTTTCTATCCTCTGAAAACTGTTGGGTTAGTAATATCAAACACATTAAATATTTGTCAAACTCCAACAGTAAGTGACACATTTACTAGTGTAAATAGCAAAACCTTATGACAGTTTGTCCACATTTTCTCCATGTTTCTATGGTTAATTAACTCTCTGGTTCTAAGTTTACTGTGTTTTTGCTACTCTGACAAATTTCTGTTATTTCTAGCACAAGTAATATTTTATCCCCCTGTGCTTAATTAAACCTTGCTCAAGTTATTCCAGCAAAGCATAACTAACAGCTTCTGGACCCAGTACATGCATCCAAAAATAAAGCTACATTAAAGAGAAGCAATATATTGCACTTCACGACATAAAAAATGTTTTAATCATCATCTAAAGTGCTGGAGTAAATAGAAAAGAATGCCAAGTAGGACCGATATGCAATTTGAAGTTGCAAAACTGAATTGATGAAACTATCTGCTATGGAAAATTCAGACAGAAAGGGGGGTGGAGGGCAGGGGGCAAGGCCAAGCAACCAAATGGAGCAGACGCCATTTCACACAGCTCCGGGCCCTAGAATCTTAATCTCACAATAATCGGCCAAATTACGCTTCATCGACTCCCAGAAGTGACAGCCAAGCCTGTGGGACGACTCACGGAACACCTGTGAGGTAGGCTGAACTTGATGGACGCAAGTCTCTTTTCAGCTATGTAACTATGTAACTATGTAACTATGTAACTACATGCCATTTTTTTATGGATCGCATGCTAAATCAACCCACAAGACATGGCGGACATACAGGTCCAGCGACCTGTGGTTTCCTGCAGGGCATGCGGAGACTTTAACGACTGGGCTCACTACACATCTCCTTGCATGATGCATATCTCGCCTGAGATGGGGCACATGAGGCCAAAGACCCCGGCCATGACAATCCCCAGGATAAGAGACATCAGCAAATTATTAACGGGCACTCCCATCCCGAAAGCCTCAGACGGGGTGGACAAAGAGGCCTCAACAGACCTGTCAGACAAAGAGGTCAGTCCACCCCAAGCAAGGCCTACCAAGCCTACTCCATCAGGCTCCAGTGCACCAGAAGCAGCATCAGCTTCAACACCCTCCACGAAACAAGACAAAGCAAACATATAAGAGTGTACACGCACGCTGTTCGATGTAGACATAGCGCTGGTAAAGGAAGAAGTACATGCAGTCATGGAGAGGGTATGAGTCACAGAAGAGGAAGTGACGGGCCTCAAGATGGGCCTCACCTCCATGAAGGAGAGGGTACAATCGCTGCAGACTTCGCAAACTGCCACTAATCACAATGTAGACGCCATGGATGACCAAGGCTGCAGAAAGAACCTCAAGATCAGCCAGGTCTCAGACGTGGTGACTTCAGAAGAGCTTCCTCACATGCTCTGACAATTGCTGGCCACAGTACTACCTGCCAAACTGGCAAAGTTGATAGTCCTGGATAGCGCATACCGGATCACAAAGTCGCCAAGAGCACCAGTAGCCTCCCCTAGAGACATTATCTCTGAGGAGCAAAACACCTCTGGCCTTTGACTCTGGCCTTTGAGTCACACCATTTGACTTTCTACCAGGATCTTGCCCACTCCACCCTGCATTGGCGCCAATCTATGCAGCCTATAACCCGGAGATTACAAGAAGCAAGTATACCATACCGGTGGTCCACCCCACGGGCCTTAACCATGCAGGCGGCAGAGAAAACCCACAGGATCACACGCCTGATGAGGCTTCGGACTCACATCTGTGAACCTGATAGTAGAAGACGATCAATTAATTCACAAACAATAAACACACAGTAATAGGTATGTGGATCCCTTTCAATGAGCTGCATGAGCTTTTAACAGTAAACTAACAGTATATTTTAAGAAAACTGTATACACTGAGGTTAAAAAAACAGTCAAGAAAATGCATCAAGATGTGAATGCTGCAATAGCTACATTCTATTAAGAAAGATATGAAGGACAATTACACAATTGTGTTATTGCTTTATAATCATTTAGTGTCATCTTAAATGCCCTGGAATCCATACTAAGGGAAAATAAAACATGTATACAGCAGAAGAAAAGAAGCTGTGTGTGTAATGGGAATAAGAGACCAGAGGCAGCCCTTGAAGTCCTTAAAGGGACACTCTGCTGCCCAAATAAAATAAATAAATCACTATTTAGTAGACAGACCCCATTGAAAAACATTTGTGCATTTAATTATTGTCAAATATTGTCAAATAAGGTCTTGTGTGAACCTTCACACTGTTATACACTGCCACAAGACTATATATAGGAGCCACCAGACTAAATTTAGGAGCTAACAGACTTGAGGCTTTGAGAGCATCTAACGGCTACCAAGTGCAAGATGGAAAGATCCACAAATAGATTGTGAGCAGGAGATCTAGCTAAACTGGAAAGTTTTGAGGTGGTTATAGGATTGCGTGGATGAAAAACTAGCAAATGGAGGAAAGCCATCGGAAGGAAAAGGACTTCTTCTGTTGAATACAATTGGGCAGAAGAGGCTAAGAATGATATCATGATAGACCTGACAGTTAAAAAGAAAGTTGAGTAGCAATGTCAAACTTCATACATAATGAGTGTATTTGTCACACTCCAACAGCAGAAGGAGCTATTGAATGTTTGAATAGGTTTTCTGTGGTTATCTTACTTTTTGGTTCTAAGTCTCACAGACAGGATCACAGTAAAAGAATCTTCAGATATAACTTTGTTTTTAAATGATACTCTGCAATAGCTTGCTGCATTTGTTTTACTATGATCTAATACAGGGGTTCTCAACCCAGTCCTCAGGACCCCCTACCAGTCCAGGATTTGGGGATTACCTGGGTGTGTCTCAGGTGTTTATAAAAAGGGAAAAAAACACCTTAGACTCTAAGGTGTTTTTTTTCTTTTCCTAAACACCTTAGACACACCCAGGTAATCCCTAAACCCTGGACTGGTAGGGGGTCCTGAGGACAAACTTGAGAACCCCTGATCTAATAAATGTTGCACCAAGTACTAGCAATGGGAGCAATGGAATGGAGTCCTCCTAGAGTTTCAGGAAACATAACTAACACAATTTTATTTTATTTTTTTAAACTTGTGTTTATTGGTTTTGCAATGCAAACTAAAAACATACTGAATTAATAACTGAATTAATTAAGTATGCAGACGGCACAAACTAATGGACAAACAGGTGGGGCAAGCTAAGAGGCATCAATGATCAGATAAAGTGAGTCAATAAGAAACATGTGCTATCCATATACATTTGCATCTCTAATGTTTCAAAGGATTGGCTCAAAAGGTAAATGAGCGAAAAATTCTGTTGGATGTTGATGAAACAGTAGTGTCCACGTGTCTGAATGGCACAGCCTATCACAGCAGTTCATAGTAACTATATAAAAACATACCATGAAGTATAAGCAAAGTAACAAGCAATCAAATTAAACAGATAAACAAATAAGTGAACCATTACGCATCTGACTACTGTAAGAAAGAGCTTCCCTGGCACCCTTTAGACAGGTCAACAGGCCATAGAGTGCACTCACCACCCCTCGTCATGCAAAGACAAAAGTCGCCCAAAACCCCCAATGGATGAAAGCAAATGTCTCCCAATGGAAGGTCCCCATAAGTACTTATTCTAGATGAGTATTCCTGACTTATTTCCCATGAAAGTGTGCAAGGGCCACATGTAGAGATGAAATATAAAGATATTTTCATTAACCCCATTTACTACTTGCATCAACACCTCCACACCCTAGCTATGCACAATTGTGCCACTACTAATATTTGAAGGAAGAGATCATTTAAAGCTTTTGGCGTCAACTGAGTAGAAAAAAAAAGCAAAAAGTATTCAGAGGATTTGGGGATTGAATCTCTCATACTGATTGCAAAGAAAGTGAAACCAAGACCAAAATTGCTGGATCCGGGGGCACTACCACCACACATGGTATAAGGTTCTCTGAGCATTCTGACAGTGCCAGCATGGGGTATACGTTTTCATATATTTTATGTAATCAGGAGGGTGGCATGTACTAGCGCATCAACAGCTTATAGTGCATTTCAAGGTGATCAGTGCACCCTGTGATTTTATTGAATGAGAAAAAGGCATGTCCCCATACTGGCAATGGTAAATGGTGTCCCAGACCTACTTCCCACCTCTGCACTTAAAGTGTGTTTACGCTAGTTTCAACCTGGGTAGTTAGGGCTAAATAGCATAAATCACTAAGTGCACCAATAGTTTCAATGCTCTTTAAGTGAGGAGAAGTCGTGAGGCCTCCATGTATTGGGACCTAGCCTAGGAAGAACATGTTTTGCAAGAATCTCCGCTGCTCAGCAGTGATCTAAAATATCTCTATAGGGATGATTATTCATGGCTTCCAGGCTTGGATACGGTAAAAGTTTGATGTCCTGCAGTGTGTCATCTATTCTTTTAAAACCCAAGGAATACTACTTCTGTAAATTGAGGTTGGGAGTAATTAGTAAACCAGGCAGACAAATGTTAAGCCCACATTTCAAGAAGAATTGGTCCCACACATCTCTTGCACAGCTGGTGGTTGGGAGAAAAAAAATGTCTGTGTCCGGAGACTTCTTGCTATCCACACATAACCCAAAAAGTCCACTCTGGGAAGGTATTGCCTCTCCATGCACACCAACTGCTTGTCACTAGCTAGGGTATGTGAATGGATGGCTTGTGATAATACCATAGCTTTGTGGTATTCAATAACTTTGGAAATTCCGACTCCTTCCCTAGATGTATGCATAGGGAAGAGTTGGCAACTCTAGAGCATTTATGTCTCTATATAAATCTGGTGAAAATGTGTTGGACACATTGAAAAAAGGCAGCAGAGGGAGGCAGAGGCAGTATTTGGAAAATTTACAATAATTTTGGGAAGATCACAATATTTATTATATTTATGCTTCCCAGCCAAGACAGAGTGACTTGTTACCTTGAATGTAGGTCTAATTTTACAGTGTGGATAAGTGGTGCATATATACCTGTAAGTATTTTATATAATCCACGATCTAGTAACATTCAAAAGCAGCTTTTAGAGGACCTAAGTCAGCTAGAAGGATCTCTATGGACAAGACTTGCATTTGGATTACATTTAATTTATAGTACAGATATTCAGAGAGCTGAGAAACTAGAATTTCCCTAGGGGACAGTTGGATAGTGTTGCTGTCATCTTTGAGATTATAAAGTGAAGTGTAGAAATTAGTGAAAGCATATGCGATATGAGTTGGGTTGTAAATTCTCTTCCCATGCTGGTCCAGTAGGTTGGAAACTTGAGGGGCACCATACTTAATTTTCAACTATTTAACCACTAATACTCCCTATTGCCCCAGGTGTAATATCTTCACTTCAAAAGCATAAGAACAAACAAACACAACTTTATGATAAAAAGAACAAAAGGACAATTGCAGAACAAGAGTTAGCTTGAGATAGTTCGAGGGAGGTCTTTCCTCTTCATTTCAATAAGTGTCTTTTAAATATCTTAATATATCACTGTGTTTTTAAAATTTAATTGTGGTGCTCAAATTGCTTCTCCTGAAGAATTTCAAATGATCTAATATTAAATATATTTAGTGGAATTTTTAATTAAATTGATTCAATCAAATTAATATTTAAGTTTTACTGTAAATATAGCCACTTATAATGTCATTTCCAAGCTGTAATTTAACCAATATCAGAATTTTCATGTGGCTTCACAGATGGAGTCAGTATAAAGACAGAAAAGTCCAAGGATAAAATCTTTGTTATTATCTATTCATGCGGAATTAATTTGATTCAAATTTGCAATTTAACTTGCATAATAAGTATAATCAACTGACAAGTATCTCAACTCAGCAATGGGAACAATTAAACCAGTCATTAAGTCTAGATTTTAATGAAGAGGGGGGCAGTAGAATAGATAAATGTTGTGGCAGCGTGGGTCAAATTACTCATACCTAGTCACCCATCGGTCAAATTGACAATGTAGCATCATAAAATAACTAGGGGGCAGCCCTTAGATTGTAGGAATGAACATAAAAACAACTTTCAAGAGCAAAATACTGTAACTATAGCAAAGAGATAGAAGTACAGTCAGTGCAGACTGATAACTTGATTATAGAACTTTCACAGGTGATATATGTAAA